GGCCATATGCCACGTGGGCACAGGGATGTGCTGCCCTGCCACGGGAATGAACCTCAGGAACCCATTATGCCCACAGGGGAAAGGAGAAGCGCACGCCCCTTTTCATTTAGGGGGTGGAGACAGCGTTGCTAGCTCCTGATTGGTCTTATCAAAGAATTTTGCCTTAGCAACGTCCTTGGGATTGGTTTATATGTCTTACTGCCTTGTGATTGGTTACCTGCACCCGCTTGTCTTAGTATTTTAAAGTCATGCCTCTCCTGTGTGTCCTTCCTTCGCCACGTGGGCACAGGGATGTGCTCTCCTGCCACGGGAATGAACCTCAGGAACCCATTGCGCGCACGGGGGTAAGGAGAAGCGCACGCCCCTTTTCATTTAGGGGGTGGAGACAGCGTTGCTAGCTCCTGATTGGTCTTATCAAAGAATTTTGCCTTAGCAACGTCCTTGGGATTGGTTTATATGTTTTACTGCCTTGTGATTGGTTACCTGCATCCGCCTGTCTTAGTATTTTAAAGTCATGCCTCTCCTGTGTGTCCTTCCTTCCCCTCTCCAAGTTGGGGTGTCTTAGTAACTCCACCTAGTTGGGTTCCCCAGTTTTATTCCTCCCACCCCCATGGTCCCAGTTCCTGACTACCCAGCTTCCCTCTGTCTCCCCACATCTCCTTTATAATTTGTCTTGCAGGCTAAGTTTCTTGTGGGTGGATGCCACTGAGTCAGTTTTTAAACCTGTTTACCAGGATGCATTTTGGTTTGTCAGTGTTGCTCTTCAAATGCATTGTCCCTGCCCTAACTGGTTTGGCTCAGTGGATAGAGCGTCAGCCTGCGGACTCAAGGGTCCCAGGTTCGATTCTGGTCAAGGGCATGTACCTTGGTACCTTGGTTGCAGGCACATCCCCAGTAGGAGGTGTGCAGGAGGCAGCTCATCAATGTTTCTCTCTCGTCAATGTTTCTAACTCTATCCCCCTCCCTTCCTCTCTGTAAAAAATCAATAAAATATATTAAAATAATAATAATAATAATGCATTGTCCCTGGGAACACAGCACTCCAGCTGAGGCCACTCCAGTGAAGAGCGCAGTGGGCCCGTCCATTTAGTTGGATTTGTTCCTGCCTTCGCTCCCAGCCACACTCTTCCTAAGTCGCCACAACCTCTACAGGGCAAAGCCATTGCTAAATCAAGGGAGACAGTTTGGATGCTCTGAGGATCCACAGTGACCTGGTAAAACAAAAGGAAACCCTGGCATGAGTCTGGCTACTGCTGAGATGGAAGCTGCTCTCAGCACTTGCCCTCCCAGGCAGCCAGGGCAGAGGCGGGTTTCTAGTCTGTGGGTGATAAGCAGAGTGATCTGGAGAGTTTAATGTTAGTAATTGGCTGCAGGAGCCTCAGCGGCAGGACTGTGCGGCCCTGCAATGGGAGGTTTTACAGCTGCTCTCCCAGCTCCCAAAAGGGAAGTGAAGGCATTTAGAAGACTCGCCTAAGGTCACAGCTCATGTCCAAGGCAATCCACAACTCTGGAACTCAGAGTTCTGGGTTCTACGGTGTTGCTTAGAAATCGGCACAAGGGAGCTTGGGAGCGTCTTCTGTGGCGAGTACCTCAATGACTAGTTGGTTTGAGGCTTCATCGGGGTCCCTTTTGCTGCATTCTGACGAGGGAGTCAATGCCAACTGACCTGGAAGCATGTTTCTCTGAGCTCGTGGAGAGGCTCCTCTCCCATTGCCTTCATCCTTCAGCAGCGATCCGGGCTGCATGGCCCGCCTAGCAGTGCTCCTGCAGACACAGAAAGGCCAAGCTTTGAGTGGAAACTCACCCGCCATAAAAACGTCAGGTCACTAAACAGCTGCTGCATATCAGGGTCAAACAGCTCACGTCGGAGGCAGTAGGAGAGGACTGTTTTCCTCAAAAGTCTTAAGAGAATTCCTAATGAAGCCTTTAGATGGTGGGATGATGTTGTGAGGGAAGGACAGGCTCCTCTGGTGAGCCCGCTGATGCAGTCAACTTGCACGCACTGTCTTAAACAGGAAGTCCTAATGACTTATAATCTGAACTGCCTGAGCATGCTTAGCTCACTAGTGACCAATCCATCCTTTTATTTCTGCCCCCACCTCTAAAGTAGAGTTAAGGCAGTGGTTCTCAACCTTGGCTGCACATTAGAATCACCTGGGAATCTTTTTAAAATCCTGATTTCTGGGCCTCACCCTCCAGAAATTCTGTTTCTTTGTTATGGGGTGGGGCCACAACATTAGTAACAAAGAAACAGAATTTCCGGAGGATGAGGCCCAGAAATCACCTGGGAATCTTTTTAAAATCCTGATTTCTGGGCCTCACCCTCCAGAAATTCTGTTTCTTTGTTATGGGGTGGGGCCACAACTTTCCAAATGAAAAGTTTTAAAAAGTCATCTATTCAACCTGCCACTTACAGGGGGCAGACACTCCCAACTGGTAGGTTAGCTGAGGCCCAGAAATCAGGATTTTAAAAAGATTCCCAGTGTCCTTTTATTTCTGTCCCCACCTCTAAAGTAGAGTTAAGGAATAGACAGCGTGGTCCTACTGGCCTAGGAGTTAATCAGGAGGTTTTAGAATAGACAGCATGGTCCTACTGGCCTAGGAGTTAATCAGGAGGTTTTAGAGACGGGGCTGGTCTCAAAGGATGGTGGTCAGAAATGGAAGTTCAAGGAAATGTGAGAAGCTACCCTGTTCCTTGGAGATATTCCCAGATGTGGATAAACTGGGGAAGTCAAGGGGTGCGATAAGTTATCAAAGGGAGTTTAGCTGAGGGAGGGTACATGCAAGGGAGTAGGGCAACTTAACCGGATTCAGTAGGGAAGTGTCCTGGCCATGCACTCATGGGTTTTCTCTTTTTAAGCAGCTGGTAGAGGCACCTCCTTCTTTCTCTTTCCTGTGCCTGTTCAACTGAGTCATTGCTCAGCATCACAATCACCTCCTCTAAGCACAATCACCTGTCTCAAGAGTCAGGTGGACCTCAAATCTCAGACATAGGAAAGTTTCTCTACCCTGGAGGCCAGAGTGGGGGGAGGGAGGGTGAGGCCACTAACAGGAAACGTTCATCACCCCGCAGGGGGCCGCAGATTCCTTTGCCACAGAAATGTCCCATATGACCATAATGGGTGTAAATGAAAAAGGAAATGGTACCAAAGACCAGTATTGAACTGTCTCTTCTCTTCCTCCTCTCAGTGAAAGAAACCACAGGCAGAGAAGCAGAGAACAAATACTTTATTGGAATGACATGGCGACTTCATACCTCAAAACCCCTCTCCCATGAGAAATTAAAACATACCAAGGTTTGATAAAAAATAAGGATCTCCTTTGTCAAAAACCTCTAGTGTGCAATCCTGTGTTCATGTTGTTTGTTTGATACCATGGAAACACACAGTTGTTTGCAGTAGACAAAAGTGTGTCAGGGAAGAGACCAAAGGTTAGTTTCGATGGTTTCCCCATAAGACTGAAGAAAAATAATTTTGATTGGTCTTTGCTATGGAAAAATCCTTCTAAAAGAGAAACTCTTTCCTCTAGAATTCCAAACTTTCGCTAAGATAAGACTTTACAGACTTTAAGCCACCTCTTAATTATGAACTCAACAGGCTTTTAGACATCAGTAGAGTTCATATTAATAGGGAAAACAGGCATAAAGAGTCTCAGAAAATGGGCACCTAACTCAACATAATGATGGTCTATAAGTGACCCCGATGCAAGAAGCCCAGAACTTTGCATCGGGGTCCTTGTCCCATGGATAGAAGGCTCTCTTCCATCTGAATGAGAACAAAGTTCTCTACACACAGTCCGTGGTTCTCAAAGCTAGTGTTTATGGAACTGAATGGTATCAAGTGATTGTTAAGCCTTTGGGTTCTCAATTTAGGCTTTCCACTTGGAAACAAAATCTCACCGAACAACTCTCTCTTTCAGAACAGTCTTTTGAATAATTGTCTAAACTAGTTTAATAAAGATTACCCTTTTGCCTCACATAAACCCATGTTTGGTTAGAAAAGGGGCAGAGTTCTGGAGGGATCAGATAGCTTCACCTCCTGACAGAAGCACATTTTCCCCAGTGATGATTTTTTTTGGGGTGGGGAGGGAGGAATCAAAGACATAAAAGTAAATGTAATGATCTGAAAGTTTCATGTTTTCCCCTACTTCTATTAACACACCAAGGGCAACTGAAGGTTTAGGTGGTTCTGTATGTAGCTTCACGCTCAAACATACAAATAGGCAATGGTAGGTACATTCAGTACATTTGTGGAATGGAATATACCTATGAGTAGAAGGCTCTCTTCCATCTGAATGAGAACAAAGCATCAGAGAACAAAGTAGCCTTTTTTAAAAAAAAAATTAAATAAAATATATATTTGTGTGTGTGTTTTTTTACTTTTTCTTCATTGATTAAGGTATTACCGACTGGATGAAAAACAAGATGGGTTATAAGGACATCATCAATCCATTCTGAAGATCCAAAGTGCCTGGGTCCTCTACCAACCACTGGGCCAGTTTGTTTTCAGCTTGACTTCAAAATGGGTTGAGGATAGCCAGGCAGCCAAAGTGATGTGGGGCCAAGAGAAAGGCCCAATTTTCAGAGGATAAAATATACCTTCCTTGTTTGGTACAGGTAACACTTCCCATATTAACCTATATCATAAATTAACTTTTAAAGAGGAAATGCTTCAACATGAAATAGATTTTGATTCTAGAGACTACAGTCTTTTCAATACCCCCAGGTGAATAATTTTATCAGTAGCCCAACCATAAAACTGTATAACTCACACAGAGTTATACAAAGAGGTTATAGAAAGAGGTAACATATTGTAGGCTGTGGACATGCTGAATGCTACCATAGCAGAAAACTATACCCTTCTAGGACTAGTATGTACAAGTTAAAAAATATGTATACATTTCTGATCTAGTAAGTAACTTGCAATACTTAAATTTAATGGTGGAACGTGCAAAAAATTAATAATGCTGTTTTAATAACTCATAGAAAGCATATACATACACCCAATGAATTCATCTCTTTATTGCATATTGCTATTTAAAAAATGTACAATTTCATAACACATACAACATTTTCTTCTTGGTACTATAGCAACAGTTTTGCACCTAAAGACTAAGTGGGTCCAACTACTAAGCTAATAAGATACAAGACATACAATTAAGTTTACAAATTATAATGCTTTTTCTTTTTGGCATTAATTTAAAAAAACACAAACTTTAAAATACACATCCAAGAGAGAAAAGTGGCTACTTACACCAGCACCAATCTAAAAAAGTAGATTTTTTTTTTTCCAACAATGGCACATGGAATTACCTGCACACAGCTTTTGGGGAAAGAAACCAAAAATGGAAATGGCATAGGAGGTAAACCAGGATGGTCATCTCAAAATGAGGATGATTGGAAAGGGCACCAGGGACACGACACACAGCTTGCTCCTTTAGTGACTCTCCAACCACTTGTCTATTCCTTAAACTGTAAAATAAAGCCATTTTCAAAATGCAGTCCCCAAATGGAGCCAGACCAAATTCTCCTGCTATAAATAGAAAAGAATATATATAGAGGCACTTTAGTTAAGGAATAGACAAATCCATCAGCATATCCCACTCCTCCTCATCTCCAAGCCTTTTTTGAACAGTCTCTGCCTGCACCTTTAACGTGGTGTATTTGCAGACCTTGGTAACTAAAGGTTGGGGGAGCCCAACCTCTGCTGTGTATTTATGTTTTATTTGCTAGTCATTTACTTCCATTAATCGTAGAAAGTCACTAAGTTTGCAATGAAGGGGAAAATGAAAACCACAGCTCTTGACAACGCTTAGAGCATTATTTCACAGCTTCCACACAGCGCAGGGACCTTGCCGTCCGCGCTAAGCATTATAGTTTATACAAACTATTTTTAAATAGCACAATTCCTGTACAGCGCACGCATTGGTATTTTATTCACCCCTAACATCCCCATTAGAACATGAGTTCCTTGGGGGCAGAGGCTCTGTCTTGCTTACCATTGTAGCCCTACTATGCTTGGCACATAGTAGGTGTTTAATAAATATTTGTTAATTGACTGAAAAACTCAATTTAGTGAGTAAATAATGTTCTAGTGCAACAGGACAAACTACTCTCTCCACAGGAAACCCAACCACAACATGATAGATGGAAAGAAAAGAGACCCTTAGCCCTCCTCCCCCACTACAAATAAATAAAGCAAAGCCAAAAAAAAAAGTAACAGCCCCCTTTATATACCATATAATTTAAAGATATTAAGAGTTGGTAGGTTAATGGCAAGTATCTATATTTTATTTTCTAATGTTCATTGTTTTTATCCATTTCTCCCTGAGAGCTTTATCTTTTGGACTGAAGTTTTACAGGTAGCTTTACTGACACACAATTAAAAATGACAACATATAACAGGAAAGCACTTCAGACATACTTAGAGCTAAACAGATCTCGGCATCTCTGTTGGTGTTGTTGACATTTTGTGCATTTACTAAGTATTCTTTAGTCCAGACCTATATTTACAGAAGACGCAGCTTGTCCTAAAAAAGACTGAAAATAGATAATACCAAAAAAAAGGGGAAGGCACCCCATAAACAATTTTAAAAATAATTTTTAATCCTTCAGAGAATCCCTCCTTTTAGGTCTTGGGTGGGAATTTTATTTATTGTTAGAACAAGCACACTCCGGCAGTCTTTTTCTTTAACAAGAGCACAGATTGCATCTAGATAGTGTTCTTCCCAAAAGCAATGTAAAGAAATCATTAGGATGCTTGGCAGAGAACTCAGTGAAATTAAGAAAAAAAAAATTGATGTCCAAGTTTTAAATAGATGAAAAGATTCTGACTGACATTCTACATAATTCAGATTGTGTGCAAGATGTCCTCCATGAACAGTTACAGACGCCTCCCTACACCCACGTCAGAAATCTGAGCTCGCCCTGTCAGGTCCTGCAGCGATGCACCGGCATCACATGGGCAACCACCAAAACCACTTTAAATCTGTATCTTTCCAACACCGGTTTCACCAATGAAAATAATTCCAGAGCACACCAAGCTTGGAGACCTCATAATATTTCAAGCTTTTTTGTGTGTCTCTTTACTCTAGGGAATGTCTCTGTCATCTCTTTCAGGAGATAGTATTGTGCTTCTGAACAGGCGTGGTGTTCAGGGAAGAAGACGAGCCACACTCAATATGAATGCATACACCAAGGGCTTCTGGGCACAAACAGTAACGTAGGTTTTTAAAAACCATACAGATAGGTCTCCATATAACACTCAGACTTCTATATACATTTTTAATATACATATACACATACATTTACATACACACACACTCACACCTGCACTCACAGATGAAAGGAGAAATTGCCACTGTTCGGATTGCAAGGCAGTGTAATGAAAAGTTCTAGTCACTTCAAAGGGCTGCTAATGAGCTTTCTAAAAAAGGATTCAAGGAAAATTAGAAATTAAGTTTTGTGACTGGTCTCTCGCGGCTGCTGTCCGTCATCTGGTTGGTAATGCGCTTGCGATTCCGCTTCAGTTTAGAGAGGTCTTTGTCAAACACTTCTCCCGAGCGCAGAGCTGAAACCAGGTCATCGAACTCGCCGCCTTCCTCGCTGTTCTCCTTAGCTTTCCTCATTTTACGTTCCCTTTCACGTTGTTCTTTGAGCTGCAAACAGAAAGCACCCTCTTAGAAGTGTCAAAGTGCTGTATTTTGTTTACCGTGGTGGTGAATTCTGTGAAACATGGCAATGCTACAGCCACACCCAGCCATGTTCATCTTCAGCTGCCAACCCCCTCAGAGTCACAAGAGAGGGGTCACTGGGACATTGCTCATTGTGGAAGCAATAATCAATAGAGAAAAGTGACCACTACTTGGTGATTAGAATCTCATCATCTAGAATCTTCTAGGTAAACCTCATGATATTCCAGTTAAAGAGCAATTGAAGCAATTTCTATTTCTATAATGGGATGAGAACATCATCACTATTAAACTGACCCCAAATATTGGTTTCCTTGATGGTACAGAGAGACTAAAAGCAAATACTCATCGGGCCACTCTCCTTACATCAAAGGCTTAGCTGGTATCTATTATGAATGCCTGGAACCCGCTATGCAACTTACTATTATTAAAAGCCAAATAATACACATACATTATAGAAAATTTGGGTAATTCAGATACACAAAAAGGAAAAAATTCATCCTTAATTCTTTTATTTATTAATTTATTAAATTTACTAGAGGCCCGGTGCACAAAAATTTGTGCACTCGGGGGAGTGAGGGGGTCCCTCAGCCCATCCTCAAGTGCTGTATTTTGTGTACCGTGGTGGTGAATTCTGTGAAATATGGCAATGCTACAGCCACACCAGCCATGTTCATCTATAGCTGCCAACCCCCCTCAGAGTCACAGGAGAGGGGTCACTGGGACATTGCTCATTGTGGAAGCAATAATCAATAAAGAAAAGTGACCACTACTTGGTGATTAGAATCTCACGATCTAGAATCTAGGTAAGCCTCATGATATTCCAGTTAAAGAGCAATTGAAGCAATTTCTATTTCTATAATGGAATGAGAACATCACTATTAAACTGACCCCGAATATTGGTTTCCTTGATGGTACAGAGAGACTAAAAGCAAATACTTATCGGGCCACTCTCCTTACATCAAAGGCTTAGCCGGTATCTATTGTGAATGCCTGGAACCCACTATGCAACCTACTATTATTAAAAGCCAAATTCGCCCTACCCGACTTGGCTCAGTGGATAGAGCGTCGGCCTGCGGACTGAGGGGTCCCTGGTTCGATTCCGGCCAAGGGCACATGCCTGGGTTGCAGGCTTGGTCCCCAGTAGGGGGCGTGCAGGAGGCAGCCAATCAATGATTCTCTCTCATCATTGATGTTTCCATCTCTCTCTCCTCCCTTCCTCTCTGAAATCAATAAAGAAATATATTTTTTAAAAAAAGCCAAATAATACACATACATTATAGAAAATTTGGATAATTCAGATACACAAAAAGGAAAAAAATTCATCCTTAATTCTTTTATTTATTAATTTATTAAATTTATTGGGGTGACATTGGTCAACATGAACATATAGGTTTTAGGTGTGGGTTACAAGATATGTATATTGTACTATGTGCCCACCACCCAAAGTCAAATCTTCTCCTGTCACCATACACTAGGTTAATTCTACTATCAAGAGATAATCATTGTGAACTTTTTGGGGGAATATCGCACCACTATTATTTTCTGTATTTACACTTATTTTACATTAAAAAAAAGGTTTTATATAGAAATCATTTTGTAAGCTTTCTTGCATTATTAGTCTTCGAAGACATGACTTTTAAGGGCTACATAAATATTCCTCCATGTAGCTATTACTCATTTAGAACTGATGCCTTTTTAGGTTGTCTGCAGTTGGGGCAATTATAAAGACTGCTGTTCTCATGCAAATTTATGATGATTTCTTTAGACTAATTTCTAAGAAATGAGTTTTCAGATCAAAGAATGTGGATATAATCTGGGGGGCTTTGGAGGCAGATGCCAAATTGCCCAAGGGAAACTTTATACCGATTTAAACTCCAAGCAGCCTTCTAGAGAGTGCTCTGACGCCCTCCTTCTTGCCAGCACACCAGAGTGCTACTGAAAAACCAAGAGTTGAAGCAACAGACCTTGTAGGAGGTGGGATCGGCCAACTAGCCAACTAACTCATCGTTCTCTTACCTGAGCTTCCATGCGCGCTCGGCGCTCTTCCTCCTCCTTCCTCTTTCGCATGTTTTCATTCTCTTGTTTGGCTTCTGACACAGCTTGAAGAAACTGATCGAAAATGCCAAAGAACTCATCTGGCTGCATTTTGCCAGCCTCTTCCCCAAAGTGTTTCACTGCTTTAGTAAACTGGAAAAAAGGGGGTTTTAGTAAATCCGGTGTTCCACGAGAGAGTTGCACTACAGATTCCTCCAGCACTCAAGCTCAAGTTGAGCCAAATTTAACTTGCGGGATTTGAGTGAGCCTGCATTTATCTTTGGCTGCCAAACATGTCTATCTGTCATTTTTAAAGTAAAAGAATGAATACTCCTCTCCTTTTGAAACCATTTATTCTTGTCTGCCTCATTTCAGCTTAAAATCTATGATTACCTCCTATGACTTTTTATTAACTAAACAGTAGTAAAAACAAGAAAGCAAAATATCATAGGGCAGAGCACTCAAGACATAAAACTAATAGCAAACTCAGCAGGGGTAGGGAAACTTGTACTTTTAACTTTTCTTTGAAGTAGTTTAATATCATTTATTGGTGCCATATGGTCAATATCAAAAACAAATGGGATCCAGTGCTGCTTAGATGCTCTTTCTAATAATAAATAATGCTGGTATTATCATATTTCCTGGGCCTCAATTAGAAAACAATAACTGATTATTAAGGGAGAATTTTTAAAAGTTATATTAAAATATATGTACATGATAAAATAGTATTTTCATTCTTTTTAGTTTTAACTGTTTCTAATTTTAGTTCTTCGGGCAGTTATCTTCATAACTTGAAATCACATGCTTCCAGGAGCCAGCGTCATTACGATCATCCAAATATGTTCAATGCTGGTCAAATTGTTGGTTGGACTTTTTCTTTCTCTGTAATGGTCTAAGGCTGTTAAGCTACTAAGAATGGTGTTTTTAGATTCAAAGTCAAGCAAATGATCACTCCCTATACCTAATTCACTACTTAAAAATTTCTAGAACTTTAATTTTTTTTTCATATTTAGACCATAAAGTTTATGCAGTCCCATCACAAAAGTTTCTAACTACTTTTATTTTTTTTTTTTGGCATGACTTGCCTAATTATTAAGTTTTTCTGATATTTCAGTGATACTATCTACATAAAGGAAATGTTTTCAATATTTAGTCTCTTTTTATTTTTTATCACACCCTCCAGTTTTATTGAGATATAATTGCATACAGCACTGTTTAAGTTTAAGGTATCCAGTGTAATGACTTGACTTACAATATTTGTGAAATGATTACCACAATAAGTTTAGTTAACATCCATCATGTCATATAGATACAAAAAAGAAAAAAAGGAAAAATATATTTTTTCCCCTTGCAATGAGAGCTCTTCAGCCTACTCTCTTAACACCTTTCAACCCCAGCACACAGCAGTGCTCACTACAGTCATTGTGTTTAGAACATCACATCCCCGGGAATGACTTATCTGACTGGATGTTTGTACCTTCTGACTACCTCCCTTCAATTTCCCCTCAATATTTATTCTTAAATAAACAATTTTTAATTATGTTATATATATGTATGTGTGTATATGTAGATGATATTTTATAAATGTTATTTCATATCTTTAATTTATAATAAAATATTCCTTTACCACTTTTTCCATCACTGAGGAGTTGTTCTCAATGTTTTACTTATTTGGAAATATTCTATTAGAAACCAGAGCTCTTTAGGAAAAAACACAACATTCTTCACACACCACATACAGCGCTCCAGCTTGTTCCATGGTTTTATAAGCTCATTTCTAAAAGCTCTGGTATGAACAAAATGGCAATAGACAGCCTACAATTGTGTTTCTAAAACAGTCAAGTTCATGCGCTCCAAGCCATCCTGAATGATCTTTTTATCTAGGAATTCTAGTGTTGATGAAGTCATGTATATTTTTGTCTTAGAAACATGAAGAAAACGAGTTCCAGACTAAAGTTCCCACGCTAAAATAAAGGGGAAAAAACACGCTGTGTATGTGTGTGTTTAAATAAAATGTTAACTATCTAGTTGATTCCCATAAAAATGTTTGAGCCCTTGATGAAGTACGTACTATATTGCCCGGTTTGGGGAGGAGGTCCCCTTCCTTACCGAGTGTGTAATTCAAGTGGTGAGGCACACACAGACATGGAGGGGCTATCCCAGTGGAGCTGCTGGCATAGCTGACCTATTGCAGTCATCAGAGGTTGGACCTCTAACAGCAGTCATTGAACATGTATTGTCTTTCCATTTATGTAATAATGTTGGAAATGGGGCTTAATGTTGAGACTATCTAATGTATCTACTTCTTAATTTTAACCAGTATGTGTGCACACTTATAGAACAAGCATCCAATTCTATAACTGAACATGTGACCACAGAAAAATGACATCCATTACTCAAGTTTCAAAGGAAAGATTCAAGTTAAAGGGAAATTTGTGGTAATTGAGAGATGGGTGTATAAAATTACTTAATAATTCAGGGAAAGGGCTGAATATAATTTATCAACAACGAGAAAGAAAATGAGAGAATATATGCCTATATATGTATATGAGTATGTATATATTTTGAAAGAGGAAATAACGAGAGAGAGAGAAAAAATGGGCAGGAGAATTTAAAGGTCTTAATAATTAACCAACACAAATTTTTCCTTTATAGAAACACAAAATTTTGAAATAGTAAAAATTATAAAAAGGAATCTTATTAAAAAGTATTCCTCTGGCAATAGGCCTTAAGAGGATTAAGAGACACCTCATTTAATAAATTCTTGTTTATTTATTCTGATTGTCTTTATTGTTTATCATTTGTCATGGAATTATCTATTATTGCATAGCGATTATAGTTTACAGACTCCCTCTTGAAAAAAAAAATCAATTCCTAAAAATAAAAACATATTTTTACAAACTTTGAGTAGAATAAACTACTCTAAATTCATACTCCACTGTGAATATTACATGTGGGCCATCCTCTGGCCTGCTGGACTTGGCATAAGCTCTGCTAGAGATTCAAGAGGGAGTATCCTGTCCTCCCAAGCATCTCAGGAGATCACACTGAGGCACAGGCCTTGTCACACCTGATCTCACATTTCCTGACTTTAGTTTTCATAATCTCTTTTCTGGTTTCCAGCGATAAGTACTTTGACCCACTACTAATCAATAGAAAACTGTCTTAGTTTATTTACTGGTTTTACACCTTTTGGATACTTCATAATCTTGCTAACTTAAAGGCAACATAGGCCAGGCAGACAAAAAGGGTATGTTTTAATTGATCACAGCCTGGGGGGTGAAAATATGCTTATAGTATAATATCTGAAAGTATCAGCCCTTTGCAAGGGGAAACTTACCAGATCCTTAGCTTCTGCTAGAAGATCTTCAACATCAGAGAAGCTGAAGCTGGCCACTGTGATGAACTGGCTGACAACGGACACAAATTTGTCTCCAGGCTGCGAGGGCTGAGACTTCTGATATTCCAGCTCCTTAAACCCAGGAAACGGATAATGTCAGTGTAGGCCTTGAATGCAGACACACCGTGTCTCGTTCTCCATATGCTCAAATTTAGTAAGTCGGAAACCTGCTCTGGAACATTTTGTGATGCCCTCGCTCCACCTGCCCTCTGCCCACCATGCTAGGCCATGCCCATGTGCACACATATTTGCAAACAGCAATTTATTCAATCGTCTGCCTTTATCAGTGTGACTCCTTACACTGGCTTAAACGTAAGCAGATTAGTATCTGGATAAAATTAATAGAAGTTAAACAAGAACTCTGGTTCCTTGATTTTTTTTTCTTTCCCTCTCTGCCAAATCTACTTACTTCCCAAACCATGATATCTGGGTAGGTAGAATTTCAACTGCAGTTACCATTTTCCTTCTTGTCCACCCAGTGATTCAGTTTTTATGAACAGACAGGTGAGGAGTATCAGTGCATTGTTAATTATCCATATTCTCTGTTACCATGGTGATGAACACACATTATTCAAATTGAATTTTAATTTCAACCATTACCAGATGCACTTGCTTATTTAATCCCACAACACCTCAATGAGTGAGGCATTGTAGAGGGTTTGAAATCCTTATGCAAAGTCACATAACTGATGTATGACAGGGTCAGAATTTGAACTCAGGTCTGCCTGACTCCAGAGTCTCAGTAACAATGATGCTGTGTACCAACGGATATAATCTGGATCTATTTCCTTCTTCACCGGCTTTGGCAGAGGTGCCAACAAGCAGGCGAGTAGAGGTCACAGGCTGTGGGCTCTGACAGCTCTACCACTGACTTGGTTCTAAGCCGTGACAAGTGGCCTGGGCCTCAGTTTCTTCACTCGTAAAAGAAGGGCAGTATCTATATCACCACAAGAGTCAAATGAAATAACAGAAGTGGAAACTCATAAATTAGGGAGCTTGCTCTGATGGAAAAAATGGCCACAATCCTAGCACTTTGGAAACTTAGCATTGTTTGTGTGTGAGAGATGTAGACGTGAAGGCAGTTTTAAAGTGTTTCATTAGTGTATAGTTTCAAAAGAACAATATAATCACCTTTTGCCAATCACAATTAGAGCACATGACTATTTATATTTCCTTCCCACGCTGCATCTTGACATTTAAGCTGCCGGGGGACGGGGAGGGGAGGCTTCTGGAGCCCCTTCCCTATGAAGAGTGTGTGACAGTGTACCTGACCCAGGGCTGGAGAGATTTCAGCAAAACTACCTTTAATAAACCCAAACACAAAACCTCCTTGCCCTGTCCTGCCCCGCCCCGAGCCTTGCTGTGAAGTAGCTCGTGATCAGTCTATAGGGTGGTCATGACTGCCATTCCAGCTCAAGAAAGCCTTCTCCTGGGAGGAAGTAAAACAGCCTTGTCCCAAGTGGCCCTTCTCCGTTGGCCTCTGAAAACCGACGATGTCCCACGACTCCCCCAGTCTCGCCCACTGGGACTGGGAGGAAAGTTCACTCATCGGCTTTTCTTTTTAAACAGCTCCCCCTCCTCCCCAGGGGAAAAGAAAACCTTACATGCTTCTTAGTTTACTAAAAGCAAACGGAAAAGATTAGACATTATAACTTCAATTTTTGTTGAGCTATGTCTTTAATGGAGTCAATTACTTTCTATGGCATCGTTTTGAAAAATATCTGAGAGGGGGGCACCTTTCCAAGCTGCCTGCGAATCGGCCTCCCGCACCGAGTGCCAGACCGGAGCTATGTCCATTCTCCTGAGCGAGGCTCCTCACCCCTGACCTGCTCCTCGCTGACAGGGACATCCGTGCAGCAGCTGGTGGCACTGTGCCATCACAGCCATGGTCTTCCACTGCCTCCAGCGGTCTGACCTGCTTCCCTCCCGCTGAGGCCTGGGCCAGGTTGTCCGTAACCCTGGACATCCTCCCTTCCATGCACCTAGGTCTACCCTCCTCAGCATAGCTCATGTCATCTCCTGCAGAAAGGAAGCTTCCTCTAACTAACACATGCCAGTCATTCCCAGCCTCGGCTAAGCTACATTCACCCTTCTCCCGAAGCCCCCTTTGCCATCACCGTGCTTTTCTGGAGGTGGCCACACTGAGCAAACGTGATGTTCTCTGGACTGACTGCTCTTGGCCATTGCAACACCTGGACGGCAAGGACTCTGAATCGTCCCGACCCCTCGCCTTGAGAACGGACCGTACCCCCAAGTGTCTGCTCAATACACACTCCCCAAACACAACAGAGAAGTTCCATGACTACGGAGAGAGCACACATCATTTATTAACAGGACGGGAACACCGTGAGGATCCCTGAAGAGTATCTGGTCCAGCCCACGTCAATGAGCCCTGCCTCCCAGGCAGGAAACCCTGCTGCCTGGCTGAACACAACCTGCCTTTGCTTCTTTAGTGTTGCTGTTTTCTTTTAAGTCAATAACTGTTTATGCGGGCACAGAACATGCTGGATGTCACCAGCACCAGGCGCAGTGGCGAGACGGGGAATTAGAAAAGAAACACACACTCACCATCTCCACCGCTTTCAGGCCACTTCTCAAGGTGCTTATTTCTTTGTCCAGCTCCGTCATGCTGTTACAAAGAGCAACTTTTAGTAACGAACATGTGACTTACATGTGTTAAATATATGATGGCTTAATATTTCATGCTTGGAAGTCCATACCAGTTTACTTTAAATGTTTAAAATTCCCTTCAATGTTCAGATTTCACAGAAAGACAACACCATGTTAAACTTGTGGAATTATGTTTTTTCTTTTCCACAGCGAGCAGATCTGTTTTAGTATAGGTTAAAAATAGCAGAATAAAAATATCTTTCCATACATAAAAAAATATTCCATGTTTTAATCTCAAAGATATTACTTAAGCAAATCACGCTATGCGAAAATGAGTGTGTTGCCATGTGTGTCCCCCTTTGAACAAGTAAAAGAAGCGAGCTTGTCCTCAGCCACAGCCACGCTGTGCTCTTTATAATTGTGTATTGCTTTTCACTAAAGCTCCAATGATGTGAAAACTGCAAGGTGATGGCTTAACTTTCCATCAACAATTATTTTTCTTAAGGTTGTACTAACTAGTTTTTATTGTTTTTGCCTTTAAAAACAAAAACAGAGAAAACTCCCTGGACTTCTTCCATAACACTTTCTATTTGACGACTTTTAAATTAGAGAATATCACTGATATCCACATGTAAACAAACTCACCAACACTTCATTTTTAACTTCATGTCTTACATGGTGCACTTCTACCAAACTCTACAGAGAGAAAGCCTGCTTATCATACTTTTCAAATTCACTACAAAAAGATGCAGCTAAAATGTTAAAAAAAAAAAAAAAAAGGCCAAAAGTAGGAGAAAGAACAGCAATGGAAATTGCCTGCTTCTCAGTCTCTGAAAAGTGGTGTGAAGTTTGTGGTAAAAGTTTGGCAACTTGCCATTTTTTATTTTTAGTGCCTTCATTTGCATAAGGACTGCTTTCCATTAAAAGGTTGCCTTGGTTTCTGGGAGTGTGCGTGCACATGTGCAAGCTACCAGCTACGCCCTGACATTAGGTCTTCTATTTGCTTACCCATCTATCCTCACTTACTACCTATATTTTAATATAACTGCCTTTGAAAAGTACTAGTGAAACCACATTCCTGAACTCATAATGCATACTCTGAACCCATGCATACTCATAAACCCATGATGAGGTCTTGTGGAAGTTAAGCACCACATGCGGGAGTACTCCAAAGGAGCTAGCACACACACATATATTCAAAATCATATCACACATCTGAGTGATTTGGGTAAGATTCAAACTTTACTTCATATACTAGTATTCAGGGGAAAGCAGCGGAAGGACCCCTTTCAGGCAAAGCTAACCGATTCTCTCAATGGCTAAGGCACAGTCCAAGTGATATAAAAACTAAAAATTTCACTGTACTTACTTTACTTTTGCTGCTTGAGGAATGTCCCGCAGTTCTTCATTTAGGTTGAGAACCTTGGGGTATTTATTTTCCACAATAGTTATGAGATAGTGCAAAAGTGTAATGTTCCTACAATTAAAGAAGGAAAGAATATTAATCATGGTTAATATCTGCATATGATTTGCACATTCAAGTGGTTGAACCCACAAGAATGCTATATTCCTGCATTAATTTCAAATTTTGGAGGTTCCTATAAGGCAAGGATTCTCAAAAGAAGGGGATACTGGGAGAGCCTACATGAAATTTATATAAACATATGTCAAAAGGAAGCGTACACCTTCTATGAGGGAAGGACAGGGGATAGGAATTACTTCTAAGGCCCATAATAAACATCCTTCAAAATCTGGGTGATTGAAATGAAGCTGAACCATTACCATCGGGGCGTACCCTCACAGTGCATCCGCCCAAAGAAGAGGTGTGCCCAGAGAGTGCATACCAGGCAGGGTGGGGTGGGGACTGAGGGATGTTTAACCCACTAATGAGGATAGCTATTTCAAGTCTAAAAGTACAGAGCAGCAACTCACTGATGACAATTACTGATAATTCTCACTTACAGTTTCTTTGACCTCTATGATAACTGTTTTCCCCTCTGACTTACTTGCTTTGCTGTTGTGGCAAAGGGTGGTCAGAGAGTTAGAAAGCTCCCAATTTCAGGGCTGAGCCTGGAAGTGGGCCAGGACTGTGCCATCATGGATATGGTGTCCTGGCAGCCAAGAATCCACTTCCTAATTTTAGCAACACTTCAGCTCCTAACTGCATAACCCACTTCCCTCTTCAGTGGTGACAGGCCTGAACCCTCACTGACCTGGGTTGGAAAGGCAGGCGTCTCAGAACACTATTAGGCAAAGCTGTGGTAGTCTGGCCCTGTTGTCCCCGACTCCACTGCGTGCTATAATCACCTGGACTTGATACGTGGGCCCAACTAAGAGTCATTTAATTGGAATGAGGTGGGGCCAGGTGTGGGCATTTTTTCTTTTTTTAATTCCTCACCCAAGGATATTTTTTCCATTGATTTTCAGAGAGAGTGGAAGGGAGGGGAAAGGAGGAAGGAGAGAGAGAGGAGAGAAATATCAATGTGAAAGAGACACATCAATGGGTTGCCTCCTGTATGCACCCCCACTGGGATCAGGGATCGAACCTGCAACCCAGATACCTGCCCCTGATCAAACCTGCAATCCTTCAGTATGTGGGCTGTCGCTCTAACCACCATGCCACCAGGGCAAGGTGTGGGTATTTTTTTTAAAACTCTACAGTGATTCTAACAGCCAGGATCAATAACTACTAGTCTATTGGAAGTTATCATAATCAGGACACAGTGCATTTCTTTTAAAACATTTCCATAATTCTTAGATGGTTGCTAATTCACAGTGCTGTCACAACAGCCCACCCACCTCCAGCTCAAGTAGCAGCTGCCACAGTTTTCTCTTCCACAACAGTGAAAACCACTTTAATTACCCTCACAGCTTCAGAGTCAATGTAATTCTGTTCCTCTGAGTCAACTGGCTCACATGTAAAAAAAATTCCCCTATTTTTTTTTTGCTCTCAATAATTAGAGAACAATTGCTCAGCAAAGTAAAACAGTGGTTAAAAATTCTAGCCGTATCATTGCACGTCAACTTTGCAGTTCCCAGAATCTACGTGACTATCTGCCCATGTCCCTGCTACCTGAGGAGCAGCCCGAGGGAGCAAATTCCCAACCACCATCAAAGAAAGGGAAATGCCGTTTTTCTTCATTTTTTCAGAGAAATGCTTTGTTATTTAGAAAAAATTAAATTTAACTGACCACATATACCTTTCTTAGTGTAGAAAGATTTAAAACCAGATCTGAGACCTAGCTGGTTTGGCTCATTGGATAGAGTGTAGGCCCACAGACCAAAGAGTCCTGGGTTTGATTCCGGTCAAGGGCACGTACCTTGGTTGCAGGCTTGATTCCCAGCCCTGGTTGGGGTATGTGTCTCTCTCACATTGATGTTTCTCTCTCTCTCTCTCCCCCCCTCCCTTCCATTCGCTCTAAAAAAATCAATGGGAAAAATATCCTCGGGTGAGGATTAGCAAAAAATAAAATAAAACCAGATCTGAGCTTCCATATATGTTGGCTATCCAAATAACTCCTCATTGGACTGAATATACATTCTTGGAGAATAAGAAAACAACTCAGGCGCACATTCGATCATCCTCTTGTCATGACCAGAAACAAGGCTTTTAACGCAGAGTGACTGTACCCTTCATGCTGACTGCCCCCTTCCCTGTGTAGTTTGATTAGATTCAATGAATATTTAAAGAGTGCTTATGGGCAAGGCCCTCTGCTAGGCACTGTAGGTTTATTAGACACTGTGCTACTTCGGGGGCGGGGGGGAAATATTCACAAGCAGAAAGAAGGGGAAAAAGAAAGAGATCAGAAATGCTTTCATTTTATTTGTTTTGAAAAGGCTTGTGGAGTAGATAAAATCTGTAACTTCAATAAGCAGTTCATCCCACAGTAAGGGTCAGGTTATCAGTAAGCTGGGGAGGGCAAAGGATATCAGAGGCTTGTGATGTGTAGGGGGCAGGGAGGGGCTAGAGGGGGAAGAGGCAGAAGGAGTGGGAGAACAGGACTGACTGGTGGTGAGGGTTTCCCGCTTCCCCAACTTGCAAGTGCAGGTGAAGAGAACACCCTTCCGTAAAGAGATGGCTGCTCCTGATGTTGTAAGTAAGATGCCACAGTTATTTACTACAACCTCCAAATAAGACCTGTTTTTTGTAGTGTAGAGCTGCAGACAGAGCAATGACAGGTGTCAAATACCTGTAAGGCCAAACGCCCTGCTTGCTGTGACCGTGGGCAAGCGGAATGAGTGCCCCAGTTTCTTTCTCTGACAGCAGGTGCTGCAGCACTTGGCCCGTGTCCTTCACGGGCTGTGGTGACAATCAGTGTGGAAGTGCCCGAGAAAGGAGCAAGTGCTTACAGTAAAAACAAGGTGGCCGTGAGAAAACAACAGCTCTCCTCTGTTCATCCATCTCCGCACAGCGCAAGAATAAGGCTTAGCCTCGAAATGTAACGCATTATTTCCTATGGGAGGATTTAGAGTGGCCATCACGCTATGCCTCAGTAAGCCTCACTAGTTAGGAATGATTAGGGTGAACAGCCCACATATTTTACAAAAGAATGAAGGTACAGAGAAGTTGATCTTAGGAACAGTTGTGCATGTTTCTTTGAAGTCAGTGAGAACCTTAGAGACATGTGGCTCTCAGGGAGATGAGACTTAATGTGCTAATGACCCACCCTGCTAATGACACCGGAGCATTTCCACACCTCAGTGTCTCCAACAGTCTGTCCACCTGAAACCCACTTTATAGGCAGCACTTTAACGCGTCTTGGGATGAGCAGCTGAGCACCAACAGCCAAGAGACATTTACACCATACTTTTTTCACAGGGCTGCTAGCCTCAATGTGTGAAAACCCAGCACGCTTCAGGTCTATCGCCAGCTGTCAGGTTTTGAGCCTTTTCCCTACAACACGGGTCTCTGTGGGGGTAGTGACTGGGAGTCATGCACAGACTACGTGAACACTGGTCGTGTTCTCTTTCTTGATCTGGCACTAGTTACACAGATGTGTTCAATTTGTGAAAATTCAGCAAGATGTACATTTATAATTAGTGAATTTGTCTTTAGTCCACATGAAAAGTTTATCTAAGAAAACCCAACAAACAAAAAACTTAGACTAGATGATATCCCTGTGGACTGAAAATGGATGAAGGATAATTGGCTCACTAGGAACTTGGGGGTACCCGTGCTTGTGAGAGAGAAGAGTGAGAGAGACAAGTGCACACCGGAGACTGCAGGACCAGAGGGTCCAGATTTAAGCCGTGGGTCCTCCAGATCCCGTACTCACTTGTCAATACTGGATTTTGTGTCAGCAATCTTGTTTAGGCTGGATATCTTGAATCCATATGCATTGCCTCTTTGGCCTTTATTCATGTAATTTCCAAATGCCAAAACCACTTCCAGCAACTGCTTCAGGGCACTGCTCCTAAACACCTCTTCTGAGCCAGAGCGGATCGCTTCAAAACAAAACATGCACAAACACAACTATGACAACTGAGACTTTTCAGTGAAACCCATTCTAACTCCACACACTGAGTATGTACTGAAGGTGCAAGATTGGGTTGTTAGATGGCCAGGGGCACTTTCGAAACACCTGAATTAGAAGCAAAAAGCAAGAGGACAGAGAGCCGGCTAACCCTGTTCAAGAGGCCCACTGGCAGTTGCACAATCCTATCCCTTTCCAGGGCTTTTCTTGGCTGACTTATCAACCAGAAGCAGTTAGAAATACACAGAACAGAAAGTGCACTTCCCACATTCCTTTGCAAACACTTTCTTGCCCGGTGTGAGTCAGATCAACAGGCTTACTGATCAATTCCATTGATAGAAACATTGGTCAGCTGTGTTGCATGTTACAGCTTGCAGGTGGCATCAGGGATCAGGGCCCGAGCAGGGTCTCGGTTCCAGCCGGCCTTCTGGGGCTGTGCTCTCCAGCTGCCTCGACCATATTTCAAACATTTACAAATTTAATCGTCTCAAAATCAACCCACATTTATAGCTTCAAGTCTTCCCTTAGAAAAATCTAGTAAGGCCTGTTGCAAGAAAGCTAGTTAAAGGTTTAATGCTAGTAGCAGTCAAATATATTCCTCAGTAACACCATGTGGTCAAAACCCCAGTCCTGCAGAGGAGCGAGGAGGTGCGCTGTGAGCTCCAGAGCCCAGGCCAGGCCAGCGAGCCAAGTGCTGACAATAAGTAATCACCTGACAGAATCCCAAAAGATTTCGAGCAAAAACACCACCAAAGGAATCCTGTTTACTATATACATTAGGATTGCACTCGGACATGGGCACTTAAAATGAACATCATTTTCAATCTGGGCGGCTTGATTTTGACTTTACCTTCCACTTTAGGTTTAACTTCTGCAACACGCTCTGCAAACTTCTTTTTGAAGTACAGCGACTGCAATCTTTGCTGATAATGATTAATTCTGTAAAAGCAAGCATAGACTGATGAGCATTCACTTAATATGTCTATGTTCACTCAATGGACTTGGAGGGGAGGTACCTCAGAGCCCTCTCCCCAACCCCAGACTCTCTCTGTTTCTCTCTCTCTCTCCTGGAGAGGAGCATGGGCATGAGGCAACTCTGCCTTGAGGGCCCACTTTCCTCGGACCTACAGGGGAACTGGGCAATTGCTCCAGGGTCCTCCTCTCCAATCAGATTAGACAATGGCTGGCTGCAGTTGACTAAAGACCCCTTCCCTTCATTCATTTCAAACGGGCCAAATCCGGCCCGCAGGCCGTAGTTTGCCCACGGCTGGATTAGACAATGGCTGGCTGCAGTTGACTAAAGACCCCTTCCCTTACTCCAAGTCCTAGCAGTTCTTGAACAGAGAAGGGGTAAAAGGGAATGTAAATGATAAGACTCCCCCTTCTGTTGCAAATAAAGGGCTGTTTCCTACACTTCTCTCCTGGATTCTTAACTTTCCACAAGTCTGCCTGTGGCAAAAGCACAGAGGAAAACTGCCTCCAGCACTTTCTCCTCATACCATCTTCTCACTCACTCACATCTCCAAACCTTCTTTTTCCGTGTAGCTCCCTCTCTGCTCCCTGAGGGCTGGCAAGCTCTGCCTTCCAAGATAGCAACTGGCTACTCCAGATAACAAGGATAGATCTGGCCTCTGGTCACCACCAAGGTTAGAAGCTCTAAGCTGCTGAGAAGGAGAGAGTGGACATTTTGGGCCAGATCTTCTGAAATCACTGCCTATAGGGCTCTCGGGTGGAAATTTCAGTCAGTAGGCCCAGGGATCAGCCCCTCCTCCAAATCCATTCTATGCAATCAGACAGATCTGGGTGTGCGGTCCAGGCTCTCCTTTATTAGGTGACCTTGAACAGGTACCATAACTACTCCGTTAAATGGAAGAGAACAGCTCTGGACCTCACAGCCCTCCTGGCAGGGCCGACAGGAGGACTAAGCGAGATGATTGGGAGGAAATTTTAGTCCAGTAGGACCAGGGATCAGCCCCTCCTTCAAATCCATTCTATGCAATCAGACAGACCTGGGTGTGCGGTCCAGGCTCTCCTTTATTAGGTGACCTTGAACATGTACCATAACTACTCCGTTAAATGGAAGAGAACAGCTCTGGACCTCACAGCCCTCCTGGCAGGGCCGACAGGAGGACTAAGCGAGATGATGCACACAAAGGTCTGGACAAAGACTAGGTGGAGCTATTGTAGGTGGCCATCAGGTTTGTCTACACAGGTTGCTGGGCACACCTGTCAAAATTTCAAAACCATCCTTTGTCCTCCTGCAGTAGGCAAGTTGAGACAGAACAACAAAAATAAGTCTGGATTGGGCAGCAATGTGGAGTAAGAGGCATGTCCACCTTGGCTACACATGTTGGCCTCTGGCACTCAGAAGTGCTCTGCCCTGGGCTGACTGCGAGTTTCAGGACTGTTGGTCCTTCTCTAGTGCAGAATCAATTTGCTAGGCCTGGGAGGGTACCTACATTCAACTCACACGCCAGAGTCAACTAAGAACAGTGGCTGCTGCAGGGACTTCTGGAGAAGGCTTGGAAAGCTTGCCAAGGCTCTGTGGGAAGAATGCCACCATCGATTAGTGATGTCTGCTTGTGTCATGATTCAACACCTAGACCTGGCTGTTCAGCTATGTGGGCTCCAGGTTGACATCAGAGTCTGTCCATCATTGAGATGTGGAAGTAGTAGGGAGAGTGAGAAACAATCCCCCAGAATCAGAGGTGAGGAGCATGACACTGAATGGAACCAGGAAGTTATGACTTAAATAGGTCGAAACTCATGAGTCAAAAAGCCCAGAAATAGAGATAATTGTGAAAAACCCTGACCCTGTCTCACCCATGGACAAGGACTCAAATAAGCAAAACAAATTTCACACAACTCTGACTTGAAAAGATTCTGCAATTCAAAAAGGCTTCAACATGAAGCAAAAGTTTAACTTCCTTAGAGAGGTAAGGGATGTCTTTACCTTTTAAGCATTTTTAAACTCACCGGCTCATCTCAAAGAGGAACCTGTCAGCCTTGGCCATCCGATCCAGCTCATGTTTATGTTCCTCCAGAAGGTCAATGTCACTTTTTTCAGGAACAAATTTCAAGAGCTAAAAAGGACACACAAATATTAAAAGTGAGGTTTGTAACTTAAATTTCTTCAGTAATTTTTCACCCTTTCAGTTAATTTGTCCCAAGATGAAAGTTTAACTTTTGTTTAATTTATAAGCTCGGCTCAGACGAAGTGATTAAGATACACTAGAAATGACTAAATCTTTCCATTTTTACTTGAAAGTAGATGAACTGGTGTAAGATTCATTCCCGGCCCCTTTCTGTTCTGTCCTGCCTCTCAAACCAGAATGCAGCAGTTCTTCACCATGCCCTACTTCACACAGACCATCTGAGGGCCCTGGAGATCCCACCCTCTCATTAGAAGGTACAAATGAGGTCCAGAGAGGTTAGAAAACTTCCCCCAGGATTACAAGGCAAGAGTGTGTCATCACCAGAAACAGAATCTGGGTCTCTTGATGCCCAGCTCTACCCTTTTTTCTATTACATCATGTTGGGATGAGTTATTCTATGTGTATTTTCCATTCATTTTGCGTATCTAATTCTCTCTCTCTTTTCTCTATGTAGAATTGGATGAGAGGAATGCAGTGGGATTTGAAGCTTTTAAGTCCATACTTTATTTTGGAGGAAGAAATGACATGGAATGTGGAATACCATTTAAACAGAAATACCATTTAAGGTGGAAAAAGTACTTCTGTGTGTGTCTGATTTCCTTTAAAGGAACAAATATGTGTATGTGTGCATAGGCATGTGTGCTATTTTCTAGTTCAAATGCCTATGGACATTTAAAAAAATAAATTACACTGACTCTGTGGGCCCCAAGGTCCTCCCTAGAATTTGATGCTGACATTGGGTGCTCCATTTAGCAGGGTTTCAAATGTTGGATTTAACCAGGCACCTCAGCAAAGGCAGTCAGTGTGGGTGTGACCAGCAGAGGAAGAGAAGTAGAACCACAGGGAAGGAGGTGAAGGGTGTGAGGGTGGAAGTGTATTCCAGGCAGTGGCTATCATGTGCCAGGGCCTGGCATTGGTGACACAGCACTTATGCAGGTGGAAGAGCAGCTGGACCAGCAGTGGGGGAGGGCAGCAGTGGTCAAGGTTGGGGAGTAGCAAAGGCCTGTTAAGAAGTTCAGTCTTGCCCTGGCCAGGTAGCTCAATTGGTTAGACATCGTCCCTATACTCTAAGGTTGCCAGTTCGATCCCCAGTCAGGACACAAACAAGAATCAACCAATGAATACATAAATAAGTGGAACAGCAAATCGAGGTTTCTCTCCTCACCCCCCACCCTTTCTCTCTCTCTCTCAAATCAATTAAATTAAAAAGTTCAGTCTTATTTTGAGGGTACTGGGATAAACTCAAAATTATAAGTAGGGGAATGAGTCTGCATTTTTAAAAAGGTTACAGTGCCTGAAGAATGGAGGTAGAATTAGAAGGGATCGGAAGTATTAGGGGCTGGGATTAGATGGCTAACGCAGTAATTCAGGTGAGAAGATGGTGGCCTGGACTGGGCAGTGGAGAGATCCTAGAGCTATTTAGGGGGTTTGAGTAGAACTGGCCTGGCTTGTTGATGGATGAATTATGGTAGATGAGAGTCAAAAGGATGAAGCTACAGGCTTCTGATTGAGGCAATCTGTATACAGTGTGTACCAGGGAACCCATGCAGAGAAGGCTCATGACGGGTGGACGGGGAGAATGTGAGTTTAGAGTTCCAAATATGGCAGGAGTAGCAAGTAGTGATTTCTAGTAGGCAAGAGGACAACTGGGTCTGAAATCCTAACCTGTCAGGAAGACGAAGCATTGGTATTGGTTGGAATGTGCTTGGAAGTGAGTGAGGCAACCTGGACAGCCATCGAGAGAAAAAGAGCAGGGCTCCAGAGAAGCCAACATTTAAGGGAAGAGGACAAGAGGCACCTTCAAAGGAGGCCGTGGAGGGGCCACTGTGGAATCCCAGGCCCAAAGGAGGGAGGCGTTTCATCAGGGAGCAAGTGCCATCAGCGTCACACCGAGAAATCAAGGAAGAGAAGGCTGCAAAGTGCCCTGGCTTTGGCAACAGGGATTTGTGTGTCCTTGGTGAGCACAGCTCTGGGAGGTGAGGAAGACTACTGCAGTGAGTAGAGGAAGAGTGAATAGGAGGTGAGTGGGGACAGACTTTCAAGAACTTGGGCTGTGCCAAAAAAGAGAGAGGACAACAGCTAGATGGAGATGTGGGGTCTTAAGAGGCATGTGTTGAAAAGCTGAGACTCAAACAAGTTACATGTCAAGAGGCAGAGGTGATAGATCTAGGAGAGGGCAGAGTCTCTACTCTGGCTGGTCCCCGAGCCAGAGACACCCCTCTTTCCTGATGGTGTGGCAGGGGCGGGAGATGAAAGTGGATGCTGGAGAGTTCATAGTCTGATGGCTTGGCAGCTTCTGGCCATTTATGTTCCGCTGTTCAAATAGTGACAGTGGACAGGGCAAGCATCTTCTTGCTCTTCCTCAGTGCAAGAGGGAAGGCAGTGGCAAGGGCGATGAGAAGGAAGAGAGAAAAAAAGGCTTGCTTCCCCACCTTAGTTCGGATTTTTACCTACTAGCAAGGAAATTCAGTTCTAGTCTCAGGTATCGCCCTCACTCATGATGCTGAGCCCACAACTCTGTCCAGGATAACACGGCCACTAGCTCTCTTTCATTACAAGAGAATAGTAAGAGGAACATGCTAAAGGCACAGACCTCCTCAAAGCACGGATAACAGACTGTGTGTGGAGAGTTTGAAGAGAAGAGTTAGACAAACACCTGGGGGTGGGAGAAAGGTATACATTCCAGGAGAGTGTACTGACCTCATCTGATTTCTGAGCTCAGGAGCTAAAAGCAGGAGAGGAGGAAATGAATGTGGCTCACATGCAAGTCACAGAGGAGGAAAGAGAGGCTGGCTCCAGCGCCTATCTGGGAAGAGTGTGGTATGAAGGAAAAGGGAGCAGGAGGAATAGCAGATCAGGGAGAAGAGAAAGAGCACGAGACACAGAGTCACCCGAGAGATCAGGTCAGGGGTCCTCGGGGGCCAGATTCTGCTTCATAGACTGACTTTCTTACTTGTATTTATTTGAAGTTCATTCTATGTGCACTGCAAGCCCTTTTGGCAAGATTTTGAAATCCTTTCCCTCAAGGAGGAATTGTGCTGGATGCAATTTCACAGTAAACAGATCTTGTGGAATTTAAACATATGACCTTGTCGATAGGGGCTGAAGGCCTCAAGACTAAGGCAGCTTTCTGCGGCTCTTCACTCTGGGCCAGTGACTGCTGAGGCAGACAGCTGCCCAGGGGGCCACCTGGGGGCGGGGATGGCGGAGGTGGGTCTGATGGTCTGATGGTCTGATGGTCTGATGGTCATACACAGAGCATCCCAATAGACTTGGAAACACAGTCACTATTTTGATAACTAAATCAAACCTTAAAAGGACAGTATGCAGGTTTTCCCATTGCAAAGCGCGAGGGTTTTCACCTCCGACCATTGCAACTGCAGTGGCTCCAGGGAGGGAGGGCCCATTTGGGTGGTGACACCGCACTCATCACTCCTCCCTGCTTTGTGTCCCAGACCTTTCAGGACACCAGTGAGCACCACTGGAAATGCACACGCAGATACCACCTCATCGGGAGCAGCCTTGCCACCCAGGGTCACTGTTAGCAATGCAAAATATTCTTTTCCTCTGCTCTTGGGAGCTGAGCACCCCTACAGGTGAGTCCTCAAGTTCAGCCTGGATTCATGATTGCTTGTGTCCACAGTCAACCGTAGGTGTACATGGCTCTTACAAACATGGACCTTTTGACCAAAATCACTCATGGTCCCAAGGACCATGAGACAAGCAGTCAGAACAGTTTAGGCCCCGACCAAGAGACAGGTCATAACTCTAGAACATCTGCTAGCTACCAGCACTGTCACTTGGGGACACTGAACAAAGCTGCTGGACAGCACGCACAGAGCGTGTTGTAGAAACACTGCTCGAAGAGAGGCTAGGCCACCACACCTTGACTTGCCCGTCAAGGGCAATACAAATCATCTCCAAATACCACGAACAAGGATGTGTGCTGACTGTGGGTAAATCCATCCCAGGCTTGCCAGCTCTGGCAACTGAATGTACTGCCACGTATGGATGCAATTTCACAGTAAACAGATCTTGTGGAATTTAAACATATGACCTTGTCGATAGGGGCTGAAGGCCTCAAGACTAAGGCAGCTTTCTGCGGCTCTTCACTCTGGGCCAGTGACTGCTGAGGCAGACAGCTGCCCAGGGGGCCACCTGGGGGTGGGGATGGCGGAGGAGGGTCTGATGGTCTGCAGTGAGGGAGGGAGGAGCTGCAAATACTCTAAAAAATGAATCGGAGGCTTAGGAATTACTTTTAAACTATTCATACACAGAGCATCCCAATAGACTTGAAAACACAGTCACTATTTTGATAACTAAATCAAACCTTAAAAGGACAGTATGCAGGTTTTCCCATTGCAAAGCGCGAGGGTTTTCACCTCCGACCATTGCAGCTGCAGTGGCTCCAGGGAGAGAGGGCCCATTTGGGTGGTGACACCGCACTCATCACTCCTCCCTGCTTTGTGTCCCAGACCTTTCAGGACACCAGTGAGCACCACTGGAAATGCACACGCAGACACCACCTCATCGGGAGCAGCCTTGCCACCCAGGGTCACTGTTAGCAATGCAAAATATTCTTTTCCTCTGCTCTTGGGAGCTGAGCACCCCTACAGGTGAGTCCTCAAGTTCAGCCTGGATTCATGATTGCTTGTGTCCACAGTCAACCGTAGGTGTACATGGCTCTTACAAACATGGACCTTTTGACCAAAATCACTCATGGTCCCAAGGACCATGAGACAAGCAGTCAGAACAGTTTAGGCCCCGACCAAGAGACAGGTCATAACTCTAGAACATCTGCTAGCTACCAGCACTGTCACTTGGGGACACTGAACAAAGCTGCTGGACAGCACGCACAGAGCGTGTTGTAGAAACACTGCTCGAAGAGAGGCTAGGCCACCACACCTTGACTTGCCCGTCAAGGGCAA